CGATCTGCATGATTCATATTCCCATTCATCTTATAAGTGGGCCCCCCCCCCCCACTTTAAAAAACGTTCCGCCGACCCTGTTAAATACATTATATTGGATCTCTAGCTCAGTCTCGAGCTCATGTTATAGATTACATTCATTATTCTCTGTATGTTGAAAATGTTATACCTATCCAGATATCATATGATTGCCTACTGTTACTGTTCATGTGATTGTTTGCATCACTTCATTTTGCCTGAAGTTTTTTTAGTTTTAGGATTGCTTTTAATTTAATTGCTTTTCCATAATGTCCTTTTGAAATTTTGAATTGTCTTTTTCTTAGCATAAGTCTTTTTTGTGAACCTTACTGTACATTTTGTTTTGGACGCACCTTGATTGAGAAGTGTGCCACTGATTGAAAAGTGTAGTTCCTAATAAATTATTATTATTAATAGGGAGCTTTCGGTTGTACGACGCGACAGGACGTAAAACGTATTCAAAAAATAAGAAAAACAAAACCGTCCATATCTACAGAGGGTAACCCTTCCAGCGTATCCTGAAAGTTCGGCTGATATTCAGGGGCCCTCTCAAATGAAATAATATGAAAAGCAATGCTTTACAAGCGAAGTTTTACTACGAGGCTTAGGAAGTGGAGATGATTTGTACTCTGGAAGGAAAGCTTCTTAACCACCTAGTTATTCCACTACAATGAATGACGTCACTAAGAAGTCATCTCGTGGATTTGGAGAACGTAGGACGGTGACGTATGAATGAATCAACTTTGGCGTCGCACGTACAAAGCCCCCTTATGTGCATGCTGGGAACCAAGCTTTAGTGTGCACGTGTATGTACAAATCTGAGACAACTTATAAAGTTGTCTCTGGTACAAATTGATCAAGGTCCGCTTTTAGTATTTTTATTGATTGACATTGTGTATTTTTAGAAAGCTTTTGAAGATTAGGCTTAGCCTATTAAGATAAACTTTACGACAATAAACGACATAATTTAATTTATTCGTATACACTGTAGAAAAAAAGAACAAAGAAATCAGAACATCAAGATACCACGATCCTTTCACCGGTAAGTATTTTAAAGTTGAATTTCAGAGTTGAAGTTATATTTTTCTCTTGTGTAAGTTGGTTTTGTAAACATTCACGTGATTTGTTGTATATTTATTCACCGCTGTTTGTCGTGCTGTCTGTCTGCCTTTTTGTTTGATTGTTTGCTTTAACTGTAGAAGATATTGTTATCTGCGCCAAGGAAGTTATGTAATCGCCCCTGTCTGTCAGTCTGTCTGTTAGTAAGATTATCCAAAAACTAAAGAATAGATCATCATAAAATTTAATGGAATGGTACACAATAATCTAAAAAAGAAATTTAATTGACATTTGGGAAGAAACGGTCAAAGGTCAAGCCAACGAAAAACGGTTTTCCAGGCTCCTTGAACTTGCCCCCGAGCATAAAAGAAAATAATGGAATCGCCAATACGCGGCCTGCTGAAATAGAGATACCACACATATCATTCATCATCATTCCTTGTCATTTAAGCCATTATGTATTTAGGTCATCATTTTCATACCATCTTTTTATGAATAAAAAAGTGACTTGATTAAGTTGATCAAATCCCCAACGGATGGAATAAAAATAACACCCAATTAATAACAAACATATAATAAAGAATAGGAATGATTATTATTATTCATACATATGTCAAGAGACATATGCTGAGAGCAGCATAGCTCAGTCGGCTACACTGGAGGTAACCAGTGTTTGTGGACTGAACCTTGGAGATCTCATCATGGTCCCCGGTTCAATTCCAAGATCTCCTTGGACCGTTTTTTGCCGTTGGCCCCGTGTGCAATGTGGCAAATGTGCACGTTAAAGAACGCAGCACACTCTTTGGAAGAGAGTATAGGGGATACCACCAGAGGGACCCCACTGGATATACATCATCTAACAAAATAAATCCAATTCAATTTTAATTTTATTTGTATAAATTTCTACTTCGGTACAAACAGTAATTCTTTCATGAATGGCGATAAATTAATATTATGAGCAATATGAATTGGTATAATAATTTGTATAATTAATTACCTGTCTCTTATACACATCTCTCAGTCTCGTGCTCATGTTATAGATTACATTCATTATTCTCTGTATGTTGAAAATGTTATACCTATCCAGATATCATATGATTGCCTACTGTTACAGTTCGTAAACTCAAACTCACAAAAGGGAGCTTTTGATTGCACGACGCTGTAAAACACATTATTTTAAATGTGTATTTACTTGATTTCATAGTTGAAATAGACACCAATTATCATACCGAAATAATTATCATGATTGTGGTTTTAGGCATGTGCCTTTAGTTGTAACGATAATAATGAATGAGAATAAATATAAATGAGTACACGACTGTGCTGATGATAGTGAAGGTAATGATGGTGGTTTTGCTACTACTACTGCTGCTGCTGCTGATGATGGCGATGATGATGAAGGTGGTGGTAATGATGACGTTGATGATGATCGTGGTGTAAGATGGATGGTAGCGATGATGATAATACAGTTGTCGTACAGTATTAGTAGTAGTAGTAGCAGTAGGTGAGAGCTGATCTTTAAGATGGTGATGACAATAGCTATGGTGATAAAGATGATAAGCCCCCATTAGGTCTTGCCATACTGCTAAAATAGGACGAAGTATAGCCACTTCTATAGACCTCATTCTCAAATACATCATAAAATGAGACTATTTTCTTTTTAAAATTTCACAGAGCATGAATGCACAACAGGTAAGTTTAATCCTATGTAAAAATTACAGTTGTTGTTAGGCCTACCTTAAAACTTCTGATTAAAAACAGTAGCACTCTATAAATGACCAAATCTCTAATAGTAAACACCTTAAATAACCAATAATAGTGGCTCATTACTTTATATTAACCCAATCAGCATTTTTACTTCACATATTCACATACTGTATTATGAAGAACTGAAAATGCCTACAGCATGTGATTAACACTTTAAATACAGTGGTGATGTTGACGGTGATGATCGGGTGTGGGTAGTGGTGTTAAACCAAGAATGGCGAAGAATGATGGTGGTTGTGGCGATTACGGTGATGGTAAAATGACAGCTTTGATTATGTTTGGTTGTAAATGGTGATGATAAATGATAATGGTGTCGACAAAAATGATCAGAAATGATCTTCATTAAAGTGCCTAGTGAACGATGACGAATGAAAATGAAAAAAAAAATAGATGACGATTACAGTTATGATTATGATGCAATTGGTGATGAGGATGATGATAATAATGATAATCAATGATAATAATGATAGTTTAATCAAGATGATGATGCTAATATTGATGGCGGTGTGGTGGTAGTGGTAAACCACTGACGATAATACAATTATGGTGATGAATGATAATACCACTGTGATGATGATAAAAAGGAAGATGATGGTGTCGATGATGATGAAGATGATGATGAGGACGATGATAGTAATTTCTTTATTTATTCACGGATACAACTCATTTTCAGCATACAACATTATGTTAATTCTATCATTTTATGAGACCCAAATCAACTTTATTGAACTCCATTATATAATGCATCTTACTTCTAGATTTCTGGCAATGTTATTTACGACAATAAGGGTGGCGCTACTATCCAAGGAGGCACAGACAACCCAACTTACATGGACATGCCCGTTAAAACAGCTTAGAACACTTAATGTATTGTTTGCCACCAACTATGAATTTATGAGTTTGTAATAATGGAGAAAGTGGAGGAGGGTAAACAATGAATGAAAGGGGATTTGTAAAGAAAAAAAAACTGTAAATCGTGTAACGGTTTACCATTTTACTATTTTATATTGTATGTTTTAAAATGCTTCTTGATATTATTAACGTTATTTTAACGTTTCATCAAATTAATATTAGTCATTGGCTGTTTAATGATTGCTTTATTTTCGTTTAACAAATATAACATTCATTATTATTACTCGAGAAAAAAAAAGTCTAGTTCATACGATTGTTAATGAATTGTAGTTTATTTTGGCTTGCTCACAAAGTGATACCATAATAAACTTTGCCTCCGCATTTACCTGCTGCTTGAATCCTTATAGGCCGTGATGTAGTTTACGTTTGTGTTTACGTGTTTACATCTTGAAAAAACTAATAAGTCCGTCACTGCAAGGTAAATAGTACGTAAACAGGAATAAGAAATGTTATCGTCTGATTGGTTCTCGAACGAGATAAGGAAAGCTCTCTCATACATTTTTTACGCATTCGTTAATCATTTATATACTTCAGAATGTGTGAGAGTCACTTCTTGATAGGTTAAATTTGGCAAATTTTACCACCCACATTGAAAAACTTTAATTATATAATTCATCGTGTGGTACACCCATGTCACTTCGGTATCGGCTAATTCATTTATTTCGACGGGAAAATTTTTGTATTCAATATTTTATATACTGTAGTTGAATTTAAAACGTTACATTTTGAAATATTTAGCAAGCAAATAGCTATTCTGCGTGGCTCACAGCTGTCTCTTATGACTGATGTTATGAAGATCTAAACGGAGCCACCGTACTAGATTTATCGAACAAACGGATGAAGGTTGAGGGTTTAAGAAATATTGAATGTTACAGATCCGGTGTAGGACCTTGTATTTACTTGGAATTAAATCATTAAATAATTAATCGTCATAAGACCACAGGGTACTGGTTTAAAAGTAATGTTTCAGACTGTAGTATGTTAGTAAATTTATCATGAAAATACCAATTATATTTTCGATAAAACATGTTTTACCCTCATCCTATTTAGGGATGCTTCGTTTATTTTAACTTCTATAAAGCCGAGCACTTACTGCGCTGTACGGCGAATCCAACCCCGCTCCTGTTGTGAGCGTTGGACGACGCTACGCCGTCTGCTGATTGTCGGTGGTAAATCTGAACGGATCCGTGTCACGCACGTCGTGGCGTTGCGTTCTCCATACCGTCGGGCGCAGTGATGTCCCGGCTGAACACTGCTGCACACTGTTAAGCAATGGACCTTTCCGCTAAGCTCCGCCCCTTGGATTTTGTTGCTAAGGTCCCACAAGACGGCAGTGTTAAAACATACGCGAACACGTGCGTTTGTGGGACAACACGTGTGTCTGTAAGACGCGCACGTATTCCTAGCGCTGTTCTGATTAGTCAGTTGTTAAGTTTGATTGACACTTCGGAAAGGTCTATTCGTGGTTTGTACTGCTCCAGCCCATATCCAAGGTCAATCGACATAAACTACGTTGTGTGTGCATGTGCAGTTTAAACTATAAATTGTCTTATCTACACATCCAAGCCTAAAGTATGTTTGTCTTTATGTAGGCATGTGTGCGGGTGCACATGTGTGCGTATGTGGATGTGTGTCAAAGCTTCTTTTTAAAGAAAATAAATGGGCCTACTATACTTTTGATAATATCCTAATCCTGCTCTGTTTTGCGTATGCCTTGACCTTTTTTGTGGGCATTTCATTTTGATCTAACCATTATTATTGTTTTAGGAAAAATTTGAAATTTCAAAGCTGCACTGTTTTTCTTTGTATTTTTTTTATAATGAAGACCAATACATTTTCTTGTATCTTTTCCTAAAAACCCAAATGGGAAACATGTTTTGTGGAATGTTTGACCTAATTGTATATAATTCTTACTGCTTGTTTTTAAAATTTTACTTTTGTATTGTTAGTTCAAATTATCACGTTTTATAAAAATATATAAGTAAACATTTGTATGGAACAACTATGGCTCTGGCGACGCCAAAGAAACATCAGACTGCCTCTGTAATTGAGAAAGATTTGTAGTTTATCGAAGGGTATATATTAAATTGATTTGTATTTTAGAATAAACTGATGCTCTATTGTCTAATTTCTTTTTAATCTTGTGTACTGTATGTTTTCTGTCCCTCTGATCCCCATTTAAGAATGTGGTCTGATAAAAGATAACGGAGACGAAGTAAAAATGTGCGTTGTGGGAGAAGCGCGTAGTCTTAGCGATGCTCTGATTGGTCAGTTGATATGTTGATTGACAATCCGGAAAGGTCCAATTTAATAGCATTGTATTTCAGTTCAAATGTTTCTTGACAACATGGATGAGTTCTGGAAAAGTAGTCGTCATAAAATGGCCTTTGTCTTGGTAGCGATGTAACTCCGGGTTTAGCCCTTTCACGACTTGCATTTGTTCACTCTCCCAGGGCAAGAAGGGGTCATCTTCAGACCCAAACTGTACAATAAACTTTGTGTTGTTTTTCACCTTTTCCCATTCCCACGGTCGACTGAAATAACCTGAAATGAAAAATGAGTGAGTTACTAGGTAAAGGCTGAAGCTGGGGGCTAGGTGTGTTTCAGCAAAGACATAAACGATGCTCATCGTTCTAGCATCCTCTTTTTGGGATGCTACATTCTGTTAGAAGAGGCAGCCCAAAATATATCTTGCATAAGTTAGTGTCCGTGAACACATTCATGAAGTTGTGGATGTGTGTGCTGTGGAAATGTTTGTGATTCTTCGACCTCTTTGTGTTGACAGAGTAATAATGCAGTGGTGAATGCAGGAGTAACACTAGGGGAGCTTCCCCACCCCCATTTTCCGATAGCCCACGTTTCGCCCTCTTAGAACCTATTTGAACATGCTACACTGCCACTTGAGTCACTTCGGCAAAAAAAATCCGGACCCGCCACTGTTAATGTGCAGATGAGTGTTATAAGCTAACACGTACAGTCATATTATTATCAAGATTACATTAGGCCGATTTTCAGCTTTGACGTTCTTCAATCACCCCTTCCCATATAAAGCAAGTGCTCAGTATAGGCATTTTAATCAATAACGAGTGTTCAGATGTATTGCTGTGGCTGGCCAATTATGTAGGCCTAGTACCAAAACTGTAAATTATACGTACTGTTGTATTTCATAATTTTAACGGATATGGTAATGGCCCTTGATGGCATCAAATATCCACCTAGACAACCCCACACCCCTTTCAATCTACCATTTAACTATTTAAAAACTGAAAAACAACCAAAACAAAAATAAAATTCAGACTCGATTTTAATTTCAATATTTGGCTCTGCCCCATGGTCTTTGTTTTAAAGAATCGTGGATGCACCCGTCATAATTATTGTGTACCATTGAATATACATTTTCTAAGAAAAATTTTTAGGAATGCTCCTTACCGCTTGCTCTTTCATTTTCGTCACCTATATCAGTAACATATGCTGAAACCAAGATAATTCCTAAAACAGTGTGCGTCTCTGCATATCTGAAATAAAATACATATTTAAAAATTCCCATTTTAAGAATATTCTGGTTTTATTTTAATTTTATGGCTCTAAAGTCTTCGAAAATTGAATAAAATATAATTTTCACCGTTGGCCTACTGCATTTTTATGAAAAAAGTATTTCTCAGCATGGGTTCAATAAACGTTTAAATGGTCAAAATTTTTCCTTTTTGATTTGAAGTATCAGTTACCACATGTATATAACTTAGGTTTTTTTTCGTTGATAGAGAGTAGCTCCTAAATAATAATTATAATTATAGGTCTAAATACAACAAAATGTTTACCTCATAGCAGCTACAGCACCGGAACTATGGCCAATGATAATGGTCGACTGATCACACTTCAAAACATCCTGCATGAACGGTAGCCATATGCTTTCTTTTGCTCCAACTAATGAAAGTAATTTGGTTAATTGTATTTTAATGATTATAATAAAGTATACAAACAGCCACCACTGTCCACTACCACATTTGAGCTTAGACAAATTTAGCCAGAAGAGGAAGTGATAAGCAGGCAAAACACTAACCCACCTCCTCCTACTGGCCACAACTTTATCAAATAAAATAAAATAAAAATGATTATAATAATATTTTGCCCAGTCTTTCAGAAACCTTGCCTCTGGACCCAGCTTCTCCCCTCGACATCCACTGGATATATTTTTTGGACCCCTATAAGATAACTCCCCTTGAATATATTGTACATCCATCACTGGTTCTAATAATATTCAGGTAAAATAATTCATTCTCAGATACAAGTGAGCCCACTGGGCCTCAGGGTAATGATTGCTATAAATTAATAAGTGAGCCCACGATACCTGGATCTGGCATTTGCTGGAGCAGACATTCCACATCCTTTACCTACAAAGAAGGAATAATGCTATTAAGTATAAATGTTCACAAATGTTTACAAACCGTTTTTATCTTTTGGCTTAACTTAAAGCTTATTATCCGAGATCTACCAGATATATCACTTCTTTAAATTAAATGCCCTTTACATTTTTCTGCTAACTCTTTGGATCAGACAAATATGAAACAAATCCTCCGCTCTTTGAAAAGGACCTTAGGCCTATACTCCTACTTTTGGAGTCCTTGGTAGGTTGGTCGGCTTTACCCACCGGCACCAGCACAATAGTGCATCGTTCGATCACACCATCGACCTACTTATACTTCAGTGTGGAGAGGGACAATGTAGGTAAAGTAGTTGAAGACACAAGCAAAATGCACAGCTAAAGAAACAAACAAATTCCAATCCTCAAGTTTAAACACTACTGATAGGCCTATATTATAAAAAAATATAATACATTGTATGGATAATTTAAATATTATATAGGCCTACCTTATATATATACATACACACATACATATATATATACCTGTCTCTTATACACATCTAGATGTGTATAAGAGACAGGTGTGCGGGTGCACATGTGTGCGTATGTGGATGTGTGTCAAAGCTTCTTTTTAAAGAAAATAAATGGGCCTACTATACTTTTGATAATATCCTAATCCTGCTCTGTTTTGCGTATGCCTTGACCTTTTTTGTGGGCATTTCATTTTGATCTAACCATTATTATTGTTTTAGGAAAAATTTGAAATTTCAAAGCTGCACTGTTTGTCGTCCTATGGTCATATTTAGTTGCATCTCTCCGTACATAACACACCACCGGGACCAGGACGTTCGGTCTTGAATGTCCAGTATTTCATAGGTTCAGGTCCATGAACACTATAAAGATTGATAGACTATTGGTCCCATTGTTAGGCCGATCGGGTCCATTTTCTAGTATATCAGATAGAGTTGAAATGGGTCCGATCTTCTGCCAATTTTCCCTTTTACTTCACTCCATTGAGAGACAGTGAGCGTCAAAAAGTCGATTTTTCAGGAAAAGTAAACATGGAGCTGAACAATAGCTTCATTAATTAGCTTATTATCAGGAACACAATGCCTTATGAATGTTTTTTGGTCAAATCCATTATCATCAACAGAAGTAAAAAATATACGAACTTCATTTAATCGATCTTTTGCCCAGGCATACCAGTTGCAATGTTCAACTTCTCCACACCCGTTCCCGGGGATTATTGCAATCTTCACCATGATAGGCGTTCAAACTTTACCGGTATTAGTCCTGGCACACGTCACGTCTCCTCTACAAACAGGTCTATAATGGTGTACGGTCAAAGATACTAGAAATACAAGATAGAGCACTCGCGTCGTAAAAATGAGGCGGAAGTCGTGCCCAACGTAGGCGGCGCTCTTATTTTTAACCATGCAAGTTTTCTATACTTCGTGCCCAACGTACAGGGCGCCCTTCTATTGCTAAGTATATCCAGACGCAAAAGGCGCCCTTCCTTTTCCACTAATGGAGGAAAACTTTTTCGCTAAGAGTGCGTCCGGCCATACGATTCTGCGCTGTATTGTTGTTTTATTCTTTACTGATTCATGATTATGCTTTAATTGATTTGTGTTTTATTTGGATAATAGCAACGATTTCTACCGCCACCAAGGAGGTTATGTATTCACCGATGTCACTGTCTGGGTGTCTATTCCAGTTTGTTTTTATATCTAGTAAATAAAAAGTGATTGGTAAAAACACCGGTACGGGACGTCGGTAAAGAAGTGCAAAATACAGTCATCATTATGAATTCTTGTGCTTTATTGATCCATACTATCGGTAGGCCTATTAGCTCAGAATTTCAATGCTTTTCCAACCCATTATTATTGACATTGAATACAGCTCTGATACTCACAGTATAATTATATTTTTTAATCACAAATTAGAACTGCATATATGTAGTTTTAAAACAATGTGCATTCACTTAAAATTTATTTACAACACAAGTTTATGTAATTACTGTAGGCCTATATAATCAATTCCCGGTTAAAAAGACCTGTATTAATATTAAATTTCCTTTACCAAAAGAGCTCCATTTTCACGTCATTCATAAATAACTAACTGCATACAATACTAGCGTTATTATACGAACGAGTAATATTTAGTACTTTTTTCATTATTTTAGGCTAGTCTAATTTTTTAATTTATTTTTCTTCAATATCTTAGCTACGCAAGTCAATAGGCCTAGGCTAATTCATATATCAAGTTTAAAAAAACAAAATGTTAATATATATTTATAATATATATAGCTAATTTTTTGTTTAATGTCAGTGATTTTACCTTTCTCTATCCTTTGGAAATCGATATAAATTATGACCCTGTTTGTATGATGTGTTGCAATTTACTGCACGGCAACGCCCTCCAATACCGTACGTCGCCAAAGCGCATCGCGGTGTACAATTTTTTAATTGTGAATTGATAATAAAATACGTGACGACTTGGTAAGTTTTTTTTATCCAGCTGTAGGGGGCGTCCCATTGTTTGTATTCCCACCATGCATTTCGGTGGAACACTTTTTTTGTGTGGAGAACTCTATCTTGTATTTCTAGTATCTTTGTGTACGGTTTGTTGTTATTAGTGTAAGCCAATCAAATCCAAGGATCATGCTACGTCACTATCACCTGACATACACTTTACTGTATTATGTAGTATATTTCAGCTTTCAGTTCAAAATTTGAACGAGGAAATAGTTATTTCATCGCCAATTAACATTTGCGTATAAATAATAAGCAATTTTTAATTAAACCACATTCTTAATATTTTTTTGTAGCTCACAATATACTTATTTATAGATACTCCATTCCCATATTATTTTTAGCCATCTTTATAATAATAATAATAAAGTTCTTAACCGTTCTGAATCGACAAAACAAGTGGTTGTCATTGACTATCAGAGTAGTTGACAAGCTTCAACAGTACAAAAAAAAAAAGGAGGACCCTAAAAAAAAAAAAAACTTACCGTCTCAGACTTATCAAATATTAGCTGACCTTATATTTCACTTTCACGTTCCTTAGATATAGATTATATAGGTCTATGTATGAGCAGGGAACAGTGACAGCTGGTATAAGAATAATGAATAGTAGAAATCAAATTCTACTTTAAATACTTAATAGGTTTTCTGCAATCTTTACGATAATTATGTAATAATAATAATAATTATGGCAGGCGTAATAATAATAATAATATATAATAAAGAACTTATATTATGATTACCTTCGTTATTATTCAATGTATAACTGTCGCTTTTCGTATAAACTTGTTTAGTAAAGTGAATGTAATTTCTAGGTGTTTTCTCGCTGCTATGATGAAAATCAGCATTAATTTTTTTTTGTTACTTCATGAATAATGCTGCTTTTAGCATAGACCGTTATTTGGTGATCAACGTAACTGCAACTCGGTCGATTAAATAAATGACGCTTTACAAATTGTAATAAATAATAATAAAAATACTAAAAAGTCGAAGTTTTGGTTGGTTGGTTGGTTCGTTGGTTGGTTCGTTGGTTCGTTCGCTGGTTGGTTGGTCGGTTGGTTGGTTAATTGGTCGGTTAGTTGGTTCGTTCTTTCGTTCAGTTGGTTGGTTGGTTCGTTCGTTTGTAATAACATTTTCTAGAAGGTTAAAAAATACACACCAAAGCTCAAAGAAGTGGTAACTAAAAAATTGTCAATATTCAATTAGACCAAAACTTTTTAAGTTAGACCTAGGCCTATCTCTATAGCAATCCTATGAATCAGGTGGTTGATATGGCTGTGATGGTGAAAGTGGCTTGTTGGTTGTATGAAGGGTGATTAAGATGATGATGATGATGATGATGATGATGATGATGATGATGATGGCGATGATGATGATAGCAGCGCTGATGATGACGATCGCAATGATGATAGCGGTGGTGGAAACAAATACAATACAATATAATACAATAATCTTACATTTCAAGCAATAAAACAGAATACAGTACAATATCTTCTTATAGTCCAGTCAAACTACGACACTAAATAGCTCAACCGGGAAAAACCTTGCAATAGTAATAAAGATAACTGTATGTCACTTAGAATATATTAAGGAATAACTTATCAAAAATAAGAAAAAATCTATTTAGTGGAAGGGATAACATTTTGGCCCTAAAGGTAGGGGTGTCTTCGGACGTCTATGTGGCATAAATTTAGCTTTTTACTGCTATATTGACGTCTTACCTACTAATTGACTCAAACTGTGAAGGTTCAATACAAAGATTTGGGTCTAGGTCTGGTAAATGAATCTAGCATGAAACATCCCCCCGACACACAAGTTCACTCAGTTTCACAACTTTAAATGTTCTGAGCAATAGACATAGCACACAAGCTAGGCCTAAGCCCTTGGTGGTACCAGTGAGGCTCGGGGGCCATGGCTCTCGTTAGGGAGATCCCCCGGTCCGGGTGAAAGAATCATATTTACATATTAGTAGACTCCAAAATCCATTGAATAAGCCTTTAATATCCAGGTAAAAGCAATACATAAGAGGAAACCTAACAACACATACTAAACATCTTTACATAAAGCATACATAAAAAACAAATATAAAAGACAAAACAGATCACCAATAAAATATTGAAATTAAAAATGCCAATTAAAACAATTTACAGTGAACGAAGTTTATGCCTATGTCAAAGTTATTTAATTATTGACAAGGCATGATTAGCAGTCAGATGTTTACTACACTTTTGTAAGAAAAGAAAAAAAAAGTAATGATAACAAAAATTGGTCTAAAAATCTAGCAGACCCCGGATTTTTTGCGGACCCCTAATTTTTTTTTTTGCCACCCCCTGTGTACCCTTTTTACTCCGGAGAATCCAGGTTGGGAACCACTGGTCTAGTGGTAAAATTATCCCCCACCGGACACCATCCCATTCCTTCTAAGTCTGGGTTTAAGTATAAAACTACATGATATACTACAATATAAAATTTCGTATCCGGAATCCAGTTTGATAATCGCCAGTTTGCTGACTCAAAAACCATGAAACCCAGTTTGCCGAAATCCAGATTTCCGAAACTTAGTTTGCCGTCGAAACCCACTTTGCTGATATCGACGCACTATGCTGAATCAGTTCATCGACAGCCATATGCTATCGTCACCGTCGTCAGTACAACAACTAGTGTGACCGAGTAATAGGAGAAATATCTATACTTTGCCTAATTATAATAAAGATCGGCAAAAGTTGCTACACGAATATGTTACATATTAAATATCCTGGGCGAGGTAAACACAAAATATGTGATTATTCCCCTTTCTAATTGACAGTAGATATTTAGTAATATAATATAATTACTTTTACAATCAAATCAGCATGGGGGATTTAGGGGGATAAACACAATTTATCACCCTGCCTGTAAACATTGACCAACATGCATGTTTTTTATCACTTAAATAATAGCCTTTATGAATCAAACCCGCGTAATGAGGGGACCATACCTCAATGGTCGAACTGAGATAGTATTCCAACCATCTGAAATTTTCGGTCTACGCACCTCTCTCCCACATCCCCACCGAAAAATATTCAGGATGCGCCCATAGTCGATGTACTATTCAGTTATAAATTTTAGTAAGACACGTGAAAATGTTTATAGAAGTAGCTGAACATTTCTATGACGAAACAGTAGTCTCTGATGTCGCACTTTCATAATTAACCTTTCCGTCAAGCCCCGCCCCTTCGATACCGTTGCTAAGGTTCCACAAACGACAAGGTAAAAGCATTCGCAATCACGTGCGTTTGTGTTAATTATATACAGTAATCAACAGAAAAATCTAAAGTGCACATTAAGTGCATGAGCCCTCAAGTCTCCTGTAGAGTCCCGGAAGAGAGTCTCCTGGAGATTTCCAGGAAGGACTCCCGCAAATTCATAATGATATTTGCACGCGTTTGCAAGTTTTTACTACTGTATTATCAATTGTCTCCCAGCAGCTAGTGCCAGTCAGAATTGTGCACAACAAAATATATTTAGATGTCTTAAAGTCAGGCTCCGGAGGAAAAATGTTTTTAAATATGTTACATGATTTTTCTAAGACAGAAAAAAGTTGTTTGACGAAAAACTGGGAACGGTTAATGAGATACTGATTTAAAAACTGGGGTAAAAGAGGCGTAACCACCATTTTCCGCCTTTTTCCTACAGTTTTTAAATATTCAAAAATATGTATCTCATTAACCGTTCCGGAGTTTCTCGTCAAACAACTTTTTTTTTTTTTTACAATAAATACAACTTTATTCAATATACATTAAAATATAGGCCTATAATGATTTTAATGCCT